CTGACAGGATATGTGATCACTCGTCTTATTAGAAGCGATAGAGTGAATTTGGGTTGGATTCCTGCCCCACGTTTAAATATGGGCCATCATTTTTTAGTTTAGAACGGGGCTGGTCCTCCATCTTCACTCTGAAGATCAAAAATCTAGCTTTGATGTGTGTTTTTGGAAGACATTGTCCCATTGGATCTTCAACTAGCTAGCTGTCTGAAGTGGACTCCAATTAACCCTCAGCAGAACGCTGCCACTACTATGCTTGACGGTAAGTAGAGGTATAATGTAGATTTGAAGGCTTCCTTAATTCTTATATATTTTTTTTATTTCTCTGGATGCTGACGCATCATGTATGCAAATATTTTTCGGGTATTTATGATATTGTGCCAAGAAATAGAGAATCTTTTTCATAAAATCAAAGTCGCGAGCCTCATTTTTATTCATAAATTCAAAGCATTAGGAATGGTTCCAATATCTTTTTTTTTTTAATGCCTGGAAATAATAAGATACTTTCTGACTAGGACTGGGAAGTTTGGCTCAGCTGCTATATAAATTCCCAGGAGAAAAAGTGACCTGGTTTGTATAGCCAGTTAAAAGAGTCTGACAGGAGAGCTGGGCAGGAAAAAAAAAAAAAAAAAAAAAACTGCATTCGATTCTGTTTGTTGATTTAAGGGATCAGCCCTTCTGATTGATACCTGCTCGGCATGGATGAGAGCAGTCCGTATGGGAGCTGAGGCAGTCAGTCAGAGCCGTTTAGCAGCTCCCTGACAGGATGACTGAGTCAATCCGGCCTGCTAATCACACTCCCCACACCTCTCCTGTCACGGGCTGCCGTATTTAGAGGGACGAGAGCTCCTGCTTCCTCAAAAAGTGACTCATAAATTATGGAGGAGTGGTGTTTTTTTTTTTTTTTTTTTTTTTTATTATTTTTTTGGAATGTAAAATAAAGCTGAAGATGTGAGAATGCAGACCTAAAGGGAATGGAAGAAATGGAGACAACAAGATAATGTACGGAGACAGAGGTATTTCTGGTTCGATCAAGTGCTGGAGTCTTCTCTGACCAATGCTGCCATCTATTGAGCAAAAAAGGAAAAGAAAAAAAAAACACTTGCCAGGAGGACATGTCTCAGAAAAAAAATGCAGCTTTTGACTTAATTTTTTACCACACATAACAGGTGCCACACCCAGAACTTTCTAGGGGTGTGAGACCGGCTCAGATCTGTGTAACGACAGTGTGACAAACATGCAGTGAGATGCTTAGAACATCTTCAGAAAGACGAACCCTCACCTAATCAGATTTCTCTGCTTATTAAAACTAAAAAAAAAAAAAAAGAAACAAATGTAAAGTGCACTATGTTGCTTTTTAAAGGTCTGTCCCCGTAGAGAGTTAGAGTGGTTTTCTAAAACCACTCTGCAAAAAAATCTATTAGGTCGCTGTATTTAAAATGCTGCTTGCACCGATAGTCCTGAAGTTTAATGCACTTAAATAGCAAAGCATATCCCCTGTGACTATTAAGTGATTCTAAATTAAGTTACTGATGCATTACACCTGAGGCAAGGGTGCCACTCTTACAATCGAACACAATTGTATTGTTCACCTTCATGGAAAGTAACATAGTTTCCAGAGATTTTAATTAAATGTCTGCAACGAGCTTTTTATTGAAATGCTACATAATTACATTACGGCTGCACTCTAACTGAAAGGATCTTTTTTTTTTTTTTTCTTCTAACTACATAGCCGGTTTAAGAGCACTCTCTTCTGCAGGTGTATCCCTTTCGATGTACAAATTATGCAGAATGTTCCTTAATCGACTTGACACCAAAGGAGAGGGCAGACAGCATGCAGCCAGATGTTTCCCAATAAACCATTAAGATTAAAATGATATGACTAGAAAATAATGGATATGTCCCAAATTAAAATTCTTATCTCTATTCTCGAACACATACAAGCGGGGTTGATCGGAGTTGATTGGCATGGTGTGTTGTTTAAAAAAAAAAAAAAAAAAAAAAAAAAAAAAAAAAAGCATGAGCCTGAAGTTGACATTCTGATTGGGAAAGCTCAGAGTTTAGCCGCAGTATATGGCTGTCACACAAACAAAACATCGAAAGTTGTTACACATCTTTAGCACTTCTCTGAAATATCTATTTGTGAACATGCTCTGTTACTGTTCAAGCTGCTAAAATGGGGAGTACCCTTTTATTAAGAGCAATTGCAAATACATCGGAATAAAATGTATTATTTGTGTTGTAGCAGTCTTGCTAATTTTGAACATCTGTCCATCGGTGGACTGTCGTTAGCAGCAAAACAAATAGCAAAACTCACTGTTTTCCACCATGTAACTAACACTCCCGTTTCAACTAAATATATTGAAATATGAGGAAAAAATAAGAGTGTACGAACCCCACAGTTTAGATTTCCTAAATTGTTAGCTTGGGTTTTAGGTTGATATTCTATTTCTGTTTCCCCATCGCACTGGAACATGGTAGCTCTGGTCTCGTCACACCGAAAAACACCGACCAACGAAAAAGCAGGAAAATTCTAACCACCATACAACTTTTAGCCTTTTACAGTATCCCGTTTCCTAATGTCAATTTGGTACCACAACTTGTTTTATCACTCATTTTTAAACAGTTACAGTAGCCTAGGCTAGCTACGCTGACAACATGCTAACCAACGTCAAAACGACAAGCTAATGGTGGATAACTATGGCAACCAGTGACAGTTTACCCACGCTTTCTGCAGTCAGGTCACGCGCGCATCCGTCGTGTTAATAAAAAAATCCATCAGACAAGCCCGCTCTGAATATGAAACGAAACGGTGACATCACAATATATAACTCCAAAAGCAGAATTCTGTCATCACCAGCGATTATATAAACTCCTCACATCGACCTGCTTTTCATCACAACCTGTTAGCAGCCGTTGTTGATACGTTTCTCTTGAGAATTCATTTAGCAGTTCACAGTAAGATTTTCAACTTTGTTTGGTGCACATTTCTTTTGGAGATTGACATCAAACTTAACGTGAAATCTTTACTGAGTTTCTAGACAAGTGATTTAGAACCTTGAACAAGCAAAGGTTACAATGGAGTCCGACCAGCCTAGAGTCGAAGAGGTTGCAGCCGACAACATTGTTGAAAGGGAATTACAGCCACCCAAGCCACCGAAGCGCAAGAAGAAGAAGAAGAAGAAGAAGAAGGTGTCATTTGCAGTCTGGTGGGAGCTGCACGAAGCTGAGGAGCTAAAGATGTCTGCTGAAAATATCGAACAGCAGGACTCTTCACTGGTGATTGAAAATGAATCGATCGCCAAAGCACTGGAGACGGTGGATCGAAAAGGGGACAGACAGCCACCAGAGAGCGAGTCCAATGAGAAGAGCCAGGTACCATTTAAAACCTGGTCGGAGGAACACGTCCCCGTTGATCAAGAGATTTCTGCGGGAAATATTGGAAAGCAGAACGTTGCAATGATATTCTAATTTGTTAAGAGTTCACAAAGAGGTAACCGTGGTGACTCCGGCAACATATTCATGAAAGTTGTAAGTAAAGTGTATATATATTGCAAAGTAATAAACAGTGATCATTTTACCAGTTCGCTGTTGGAATATAATGGTCCTTATTAAAGAAAAGACTCGCTAACCGTTCATGGGATAATAGAAATTCACATTGTATCATTATGCTGCAGTTGCTTGAAATTTACACACGATGGCGCCAGATACCAGCTCATTTGCCGCTTGCTCAGGTGACATCTGTATGTCTGCCGTCGTATTTTTAAGATTTCATTGCATCAGTTGCTACCAATAAATGGAGAGTTCGAGGGCAAATAAGTTTTCTGACCACATTTCTGTAAGCATCACAGATCCAACTATTCTGATTTTTAATAATGCACGTGACATTTCATAAGAATAATTTGTCCCTTCTTCAACAGATTTACAAACTTTTAATTTCAACATTCACAAGTGGTCTATACATCCCGTCTGGGCTCGAAACACCTTGTGAATGACCTGGAGGCAGGGATGTCTGGGGTTTCCTCCTGAATCTGCAGTAATGCCATTGTTTCAGACAAATGAGACGCACACACACGTATTCTGTCAAAGTTGTTTTAATAGGCATCACATAAAGGAAAAGGCTCCCACTGTTAAAATCCTCAGTCCTATGTGCGGTGCGTGATAAATCCCCCCTCGCCCTCAGCTTCACCACCTTTGAGTGCGGACATTTTGTCAGCAGAAATTCATCACAGTGTCAGAATTGTATTCACGAGTTCGGCGTCGGTTCAGGAGAAATGGCAAAAACAAAAATAACTCAGTGTACTAGGAGTCTCAGCCCGGTGTGCAGAACTCGTTTGTCAGTCTTGTTGGATTTAATCCACAAGCATGCTGCCAGGGTGGGACAAAGGCCTCTGGGTGAGGGGGGATTGTATCAGCAATAGTCTTCCTATGGTTTACCTGAGCTCAGTGATGGCCGCATCTGTTCCTACCTGTCTGTGTTGTAAAACGAAAATCTGCGGTGACAGGCTAGCAAGCGTACAGCACGACCTGTTAGACGAGAGGATTTCAAAAACATTTCCTAATACCAAACGCTTCCTTAATAAAAATACACCTGAATTCTCTTTATGTACAACAGGAAAAGAAAAACTCAACTGCATATTCAAGACTCCTTTTAGTTATTCTTTCTGTATAAGAAATATCACTATTTTTTATGAAATGAGAAATCTTTCAACTAGAGTATTAATGTTAATTTCACCCATAAATCATTGAAGTACAATATTTACATATAGTACAGAAGACAGTTTAATCTGAAACAATAATAAAATAAATGTTCAATAGGTACAAAGTTTGCTTTTTTTTTTTTTTAAGTTTTACCTTAACCTTGTCAGAATCCTGACACACTCCAAAAAATGTAAAGCCATTCTCCTCTAATAAACTATTAAGTGCAAAGAATTTGTTTTCCATATAAAAAACTGATTGCAGCATCTAACTTTGAGACGGAGAACAACGGTAAGCCGTTATTGTTTTTTTGTTTGTTTTTTTTCTTCATCCAAGTGCTTCAAAAAGAGATGTGAAAAGTTACGCTTGCGTTCTGCCGTCACAAATTCAAAACGGTGGGCAAGGGGGTTGTTATTGAACGAGTACGAAAGGAAGGGAAATGTGTGCAAAACTCACTCGGTGTGATACCTCGGATTTTAATATTTCTAAGGGAAGAACGAGAAATAGTTTCAGGGATATGCTGCAGCCGCCTCAAAGTGATCTTATTCCCTTTTATTTTGGGGTACATCAAAACAAACAAGTCACCGAACTAAACCCATATGTAAAGGTTGGGTTGAGGCATCATCACGTCACTGTGTCTAGTCTTTGAACATCTATAGGCACAAGAGATTGGGTATTAGAGTTTGTTAGTTTCAGACTAGACAATTTGATATAACCAAAGATGTAACAATGATCCAGTCACACACTTTTTAACTATCAATAAAAACCCTTCGAACCCCAACCAACATCAGATTCCTTAACAAGAGGAGGGGGGTGGCAACTCTGGGGTAGCAGTAGTAATGAATATGACACAGAAACAGAAGGTCAATAGCCGTGCGACAGTGTGAGAAGGGCCACACACTGGGCTTGGACATCCACATCACGGTTGCATGGATCGGCCAGCAGCACCGGCAACGTGTCTATACTACTGTTCCACTGGGAGAGTTGGCTGGGTTGTTTTGAGACAATCCCTGCAAAAAGATAGACGGGGTTACTCAGATGTAAAACAACAGGCAGTTTAGATAGACAAAATGTTTTCTTAGTTCTGAAAACCCAACTTAAAATGACAAGGCCTTTGCAGACCTTAAGGAAATACCAAACAGGTAAGTCAACCATTTGCTATGGTTGTTTTTGATCAGATATTAATCTAACACTTGCAGAAACCTCAAGGGTTGAAGCTGAACACAACTGGGTAAAACTATGAGAGGAGGGCTAAACTTCTTAATTTCTGCGAATTATAGTTAAAGAAGAACAAGAGTCAGTATAAGACTTGACAAAAAGATTAGATCTGTAGTCCATCCATAAATATTCTTATGGTTCAGTTAAAAGTCTATCTAATTGGATGGGCTGCAAACTATTTAAACCATCAGTCTAGTGTTGATAAGACTGATTTAAACTTACCACTTTACCAGGCCTTGCCCATGTGCAAATGAAACCCTCCTGACAAGCTGTAACCAGACAGTCCTCCAGAAAGATTAACACAGTGAGTCTCTCGTGGGCAATCTTCTTGCACACCAGCGGCTCCAACAGGGGAACCTCCTCCATGCGCGGGCACAGCATCGTGCCCAGAGTCTTGGCTGCCTCGGCTTTCGCCGTCCGCGAGGAGCTGAGCTGGTTGAGCTTGTCGCTACTCTTGCTGCTGATGTGGCCCATGCTGTGGTTTCGCTTGTGGTCCTTCTCGTGGCGCTCCTTCCGCGAGTCGTGCAGAGACAGCGTTGCGAACTTGTTGGCGATGAAGGAGCTGTCGATGATGCTGTTGCCCTTACTGCTGTTGCTGCTGCAGCTACTCCCCGTGTGGCTGTTTGGGGTGCTGCCTCCGGCTGGGTTGGTGGCCTGAGGGAGGCTGTTGGAGCGGGGCAGCGAGTCGGGGAGGGAGTTAGCCGGGTTGCCAGTGGCGCTACTATTGCTCACATTGTCTTTAATATTGGTGCCGCTGGAATTGGTGGTGGAGGTGATGGATACAGTGGTAACTGTCTGTCCAGTGGCTGTAGGGCTTGTGGCACTCATCACGTTAGTGTGAGTTCTTGTGCGAGACAAGGGGAGGTGGGGGAAAAGGATGTCCTCTGTAAGATCCCACAGACACAGCTGAGTATCCTGCCCCACTGAGCCAAATCTGTACGTCACGCTGACCGGCCTGCTTTCCGTAGAGTTTCTCTTAGAAAGCCTAGAGTGGGAGCTGTTGGCCCTCTCTCTGCCTGCCCCGATGTGAATCTGCTCGTGAAAGTCCTCATCACTCCCGCTGAACTCGGCAGGCAGCTCACCGTCCTCGACGCTAGTGGTGCAGTGGTCAAATGCCACCACACTCACCCACGACTTGTGACCTTGGCCCCGCGCGATCACTCTGCAGTCCGAGAACGACCACACGGTCACCAGGTCATCCTCCCCTCCCGCCACGATATACCGCCCGTCGGGGCTCCAGCACACACACAGCAAGCCACCGAAGTAGCTCTTCATTGTTCCGTGGAGCTCTGCGGCGTCGAAGCCAAACACTCGGAGGAAGCCATCCTGGCTCGCACAAGCCAGAAACTTGCCATCCGGAGAAAAGGCAAACTCATTCAGCGCCCCTTCGCCGACCGTCCAGCGCAGCAGGGGGTTACGGGCCGACTTGCTCTTGCAAGTGTGTACGGCATAGTTGTCCCCCTGCTTGAGGAGCTGGTAGTGAGGGGCGGTGGTGCCACAGGTGTTTTCCACGTTGTACAGGTACATGCTGCCGCTGGAGTGAGCCACCAGGAATAGGCTCTCTGAACCAGGAACCCATCGTACGCACGTTACTCTCGACTTGTCGATGAGTCTCTACAAGTAGAGGAAGAAATCGAAAGGTTAGCTTCTTTCTGGTTGACTTGGGTACATAAACAGGTGGACATTGTGGTGTTGATTTACAAACGACATTGATGTAAGCCTACCTCCTCATTGAAGAGTTTGCTGGTTTCCTTCTTGATCGGGTCGATGAGCTGAACCTGACCGGCTGAGAAGCCCACCAACAGGGAGACGCTCTCTGCTGTCGCTGTAAGGGGGTTGAAGTCGTGGCATGTCGGCTGCGTGCCTTTGTATATCCTCTTGTCTACTGGTTTACTGAGATCGGCAGCCTAAGACGAGAACAAATATACTCACACATTACTTGCTCTGTGTAGAAATTTACTTGCACTGCTTCCACACAACAGTGGATGTGTCCCCACTTGTTATTTTAAAAGGTCTCGATCCAGACATTGTGCAACATACAACTAGTGAGACTTTTTTTTTTTTTTAAGTCGGCTGTCTAGCGGCAACCTCACTTCGGATCCACCCTTTTTGCTGACATTGGTTAAAGAAAGGTTTTAGACACTACTGCTATTTGCTCAAGCACATGAAGGAAGGAAATTCAATGTAAAAAGCTCCGCAGAACTATTTAGTTTTCAAGAAGTCATCTTATTGGTTAGTCAACTGACTAATCATGTCAGCAGCAATCTTGAGCAGCCATATTGACATTGTTCAAACCTAACACCAGACCTTCTATATCCATACTAAATGAAGTTGTAATAAATTCATGTGAAGATGATGACATTGACCCTAGGATCCTACAAGGAGGGCTTTTTAATAGCGGCTTGCCAAGTTCACGTGTGTGAACGGATCTGTGTTCAACTATAGCTAAACATAAACACCTGAAATGATTCTGAGTTCAATATACAATTCACAAACTATTCGATTTCCGAGCATAAAAAAGATATTTTAAAGTATTAACAATAACGAGTATCTGAAAAAAATTAACATCAATCAATCAATCAATCAATCATTTTTTATCTCTTATAGGGCTGCAACAAGGGTGTTAAATATGAAGGGGTTTTTATTTGTTTTGAACTTTCTGGAGCTAAAACAATGCCACTTGAGCAGTTCCAGGTAAAACATATTTGCAGACAAAGTTTTGTTTTTAAATGAAAAATGCATAGAATTTTTATACAGTTTTGGCACAATTACTGCTCTGACTGTGTTGTTCTTTCAGCAACTGTCCTTTTTTTTGAGCCTGTATATTCCAGTTAGCCAATAATCGATTACTAAATTAGATAGTGTTTATCTCACTAATCCATTCATCATGATTAATCCGATTAATAGTCTTAGAGCTAATCAATTTCATACCATATTTTAAGGTTTAAACGTGCGGGTGGATTAGCCTCCATGTCTAAATCTGGCACATTAGATGTCAGCCTATAGAGTTCATGTCAACTCCCTTCTAAATTCATACAACAGAAAAGGTTACAAGCACAGACGATCACTTTTACTTTTCATGTGCACATGTTAGCACGTTGTAAAAGCACAGATTGGCACCAATGCTCCTATTGCCTGCACAGGATGCTGCATCACAAAGAAAACACTTCATCAGTTTGATAGTCACAGATGCCACTCCTGTTTAACAAGGCCAAGAACGAGTGTATGCAACCAGTGGATTACTATGCATTACATTCAGAGTCTGAGAGTTAAATGTAATCATTACAGCGAGAGTAAAAAAAAAAAAAAAAATCTTTCTCCACTTACAGTCCAATGACTTAAATCGGGATCACTTATTAGCTGATTCTCTCCCAGGATCACAAAGTTTGTCCCTCCTTATGAACACCACTTGACCCTTTTTTTTCTTATTCTGTTTACCATGTCACCATGTAAATATCCACAATAAGCATACATCATATGACACGACTAGCCTTTTCCAGTCTCCTCCAGTTGAATTGAAATCTCGTGTCGCAGCTTGTCACAGACACATTAAACATCCAGTGGATTCTTATGGAGGCATAAACAACTGTGACGATGTGAGCTTAGAATGCTAATTAGTCTCTAACTTAGCTGGGTCAGCTACATGGCCTTGTTGTTTGGACAACCTGCGCACCTCACTGACAGCAGCCCACAAAGCTTACACCTGTTAAAGGCGCCCGGTCGCTGGGCTCCACGGGGACAGCGGCGGGTCTTGTCGGTATTGTTTACCTTTCTCACGCCTTTGTAGATGTAAAAGTACAGTTCCCGGCCCACATTGAAACAGATCCTGTCGCCGTTGCCGGACTGGTCGTTCACGTTGACGAAAGAGACCTTGACGGGGTTGGAGCCCTGCGAGTTGAAAGGCACCCGGTTCGGGCGGCTGTATTCAGAGTGAGTGAGGAGCTTGTAGACGCCTTCCCGTGTGGTGAACTGGGTTTTAATTTCGTTCGTCTCCTTCCCTCCTCCCTCCGCCGCCATCTTGGAAATTGGCGTTCATTCTTGTCCCAGCCCCGGATGTTACACACACACGTAGAGGCCGTCAGTCATGCGTGCAGGGAGACGGGACTGGAAATGTTAGCCAGCATGGAGGCTAACAATTTTCAAATAGGTTAACGGGCAAGCTATTCATAAAATCAAACCCCTCTCACCATCTGTAGTAGAGAACAATTAATCGCTCTTCTATGTTATTATATATGAATTAATCATTTCATACCTGGAATATGTCAAATGTCCTTCTACCTCGTGTATAACTCCAATCCTTTATGTAATAAGAAGTAAAACTTAAACGAATTAAATCTAAAATTTCTAACTTCGTGAACTTAGCAATTTTATGTGACAAACCAAGACTAACTGTGAAATGGAATAAAAGGGTGTTTTAATTTTTTTAAACAAAATTTAAAAAAATAAAAACAATAAAATAAAAATCTGACTAGTGTGATGATCATTTATATTCAGCTCATATTTTCTTTCACCCCTACATAAAATTTTGTAGAATAAACTTTAGAAACCACCTTTCTTGTAACAAATTTCTTGAATATATATTTTTTGTTAAATAAATAAAACTACTCTGGGAAGGCTTCTGGGGATTGTAGACAGCCTCAGCAAACAAATAGTATCTTGGTACCCAGCAGAAATTTCAGGGAAGAAAATATGCAAAGCAGAGTTTGATATAGAGCAACATTCCAAGCCTTGAATCTTGCAGCAGTGTTGTGAAGGAGTATTGCCCAATTGCAAACCTACTGGGACTATCTGGCTAAATGACAGGCAGCAGAACCCTGGAGGAGTTTCATAGACCTATAGATTAAAAGGAAGAATCTGTTATGGCAAAATGAAAGACCTATGGAATCTGTTTTAAACTTTATGCATGTACATGCATGTAGTCAGATGAGACCAACATTAAATGTTTTGGTCTTCATATAAAAAAACAGCTATAGAGGAAAACTAAAACGTCATAACCTCTTGAATAGATCGACTTATTAAAAACAAACAGCATAATGCTATGTCAATGCCTTTCTTTAGCAGAGGCACAGCAGAACAAAGGCCAATGGTGGAATACAATCTTAGATGTTGCATAAAAGTTTATTTTTTAATTGCATGGTTGCTTTTTTAAACTAAAAACTAACCTTTTCATTCTTTTTCACGTTGTTGGGTTATTTTCTGTAGATCTATGTCCAAAATTCCAATAAAGTACATATTGAAGTTTGACAAAATATGACAGTTGATTCCATTTATTTATTACAGGGACCGTGTATAGTATGGTGACAACATTTCTGTGAATATACCAGAGTTAGCCAGAATTGACGGGAGACTGCACATGCGGATTACAATGACTCATGCAGTTAAAAACACACTATCTTCAATATTTCACAAACATCTACATATCTGTTTTTCTTGTCACAAAATTAGATTTTATCATCCCCCAATATTATAAAATCTATAAAGTTATTTCAGCATGGAAAATTTTGCAATTGCGACAGCGCGTCGTGTTCAGGTACAAAGTCAGCTTCTAGTAGCGTCTCCAGTCAGCTGGAAGCATTTCTATTACATAACAGAGCGGGTGCACGTATAATATACTGCCATCTACTGGCCACGTCAAGACGTTACCGATTGAAGCGGACTACTGTTCTGTGTTGCACAATATTAATTCCAGGGTATTCCACGATTTTCTAAGTGGCATACTCAGCTACCCTATGCCACTCATGACCCAATATAAATATACTGTGTTCAGCATACATAAAATCATGTGCAAACTTAAAACTTTATCAGGTTGAGTCTTTTCAAAACTGTCTGCTTCACTCCAAATTGTAAGTGAATAAATTCTCTATAACATTCTTTGAGACACAATAAGCAATTTCCTGTGGCTTATCTGACAAAGTCTGTCTATCTCTCTGTCTGTATGTAAAATTGTATGTAACTGTTTCAACCTGTCTGAGTTCCACATTAAAACACTAGTAGGGTCTGTCTAGCTCTCAAAAACAGGTGTGTAAATTCCACCAAGTTTTACACACCAAAAACTGAAATAGATTTGCTTCACTTTGTAGGCAAATTCATGGGCATATCCTAGAGCAAGTGGCAGTAAGAGCAATGCACACCTATGACGCGTAGACCAGGTTGTGGGGCCTACCAGCCCAACAAGCTATCGGGGAAGCACTCACTGTGAGTGACAGGCACTGCTTGTGACTCTGCTCCCCTATAAGGGCACAGTAACATTAGGGCTCTCTCTTCCTGACTCCCCCTTCCTTCCCGGCCTTTCCTCGACCCCTCTCGCCAACAGTTGTGAACATGTTTTCTAGAAGCTTCCAAAGGGTAGCTTCGAGAAACCACCCCTAAAGTATAAAAAGACGTGAGCATGGCCTGGTGGTCTGCATAGAGTCAAAGGACACTCACGCGAACACACATCAAGACAGACTTGACTCCTCACAGGAGCAGCAGCGAAGCGCAGACTTGAAATTCTTTGAGAAGAAACGACAACGATTCGTTTGAAGAAAAGAACCAACGATTTTGATCGAGGTAAGACTTGAACAAATTTTACAAAATGAAAGTGGTTTTAAATGTATAAAGGAAAGTACTAAGAACTTAAAGCGAATTGATAGTGTTTGCATTTTAGTATCACTTCCCTTTTAAATGGCAGAAGCAGAGCCCTTTTGCCACAAGAATCTTATAGAACTATAATGTGAATGAAGCACATGGCATGTAGGGTGACCCTGACCCAGAGAGCAGCTGCTAGTCAGTGGAACAATTATTCAGAAGAAGCTGTCTGCCTGGCCCAAACAGTAAATGCAGTATGTTCACATTATTGTATAGCAGCATAATTTGCAGTCTGTATTTAGTTTCTATGAAAAAAATAAGTTAGGCTATAAAGAAAACCTGTTTGGGGATGGGAAAGCACTAGAACTCCACCCTCTTGCCAAATCTTTGACTGACAGCTTGAGCATATGCTCATCAACCATTAGCCACCACATGTAAGCCATGTGGCCATGTCAAAGAATTTTGTAGCAGTAGTAAAACACATCTAGATGGCACAGACTAGTAAAACCGGAAGCATAAAAAAACTATACTATTGCAATATACAATATAAAATAAATTTTTTAAAAAGTAACATATCTGCCCTACTTTAGATGCCTGAGAAAGCTGGACACGTTATGGAGGAGGAAGTGGAGACCTTTGCCTTCCAGGCTGAGATCGCTCAGCTCATGTCCCTCATCATTAACACCTTCTACTCAAACAAAGAAATCTTCCTTCGTGAGCTCATTTCCAACTCCTCAGATGTAAGAGAACTAAAATCTTACATAATCTATTATATTTGTGAACTCAACAATGATTTAACAGCATTTTCTCCTCTGGACAGGCCTTGGATAAAATTAGATATGAAAGCTTGACGGACCCCAGCAGACTTGAGTCTTGCAAAGAGCTGAAGATAGAAATCCGACCTGACCTGCATGCTCGCACCTTGACCCTGATTGACACGGGCATCGGCATGACCAAAGCTGACCTAATTAACAACTTGGGCACCATCGCCAAGTCCGGCACCAAAGCTTTCATGGAGGCTCTGCAGGCAGGAGCCGACATCTCCATGATTGGTCAGTTTGGCGTGGGTTTTTACTCTGCATACTTGGTAGCTGAGAAAGTCACAGTGATCACAAAGCACAACGATGATGAGCAGTACGTGTGGGAGTCTGCAGCTGGTGGTTCATTTACAGTCCGGCCTGACAATGGTATGATTTAGTATTCTACTGATGTTACTTTAGCTTTAATTAGCATAAGCAAATATAGCTTTACTCCTTTCCTGTGGTTTAAAGTCAACTTGATTTTGTTTTCAGGAGAGCCTCTGGGAAGAGGAACAAAAGTTATTCTTCACCTCAAAGAAGATCAGACAGAATATTGTGAGGAAAAACGCGTCAAAGAAGTAGTCAAGAAACACTCACAGTTCATTGGCTATCCTATTACACTTTTTGTAAGTTATCTTACATTAGAATCTATTGTTAGCTATTAATGAGCACTGAAAATGTGAAAATAAATGCAAAGAAAACAGTAATCAAACTTCTGATCTGTTGAAGGTGGAGAAGACAAGAGAGAAGGAAGTGGACCTTGACGAGGGAGAGAAGGAAGAGGAAGTTGAGAAAGATGCTGCAGAGAACAAGGACAAACCAAAGATTGAGGATGTGGGCTCAGATGAAGATGAAGACTCCAAGGATGGCCAGAACAAGAGGAAGAAGAAGGTCAAGGAAAAGTACATTGATGCTCAAGAGCTGAACAAGACCAAGCCTATCTGGACCCGCAACCCAGATGACATCACCAATGAAGAATACGGAGAGTTTTACAAGAGTCTCACCAACGACTGGGAGGACCACCTGGCTGTCAAGGTAAGCTAACAATGAGAGTCCAAAATGATTATTCAATATTCATGATTATTAGTGTACAGAGCTAATGAAAATGTATATTGTATTTTAAAACTTCAGCATTTCTCAGTGGAAGGTCAGTTGGAGTTCCGTGCTTTGCTCTTTGTACCAAGGAGAGCTGCCTTTGACCTTTTTGAAAACAAGAGAAAGAGAAACAACATCAAGCTTTATGTCCGGAGGGTCTTCATTATGGACAACTGTGAGGAGCTGATACCAGAGTATCTCAGTAAGTTACCATTTTCTGTCAACACATCAATTATTCTTATCTCTGTCCTTACATACTTACATTTTGTCTGGATGTGGATTACTAATAGAACACTGTTTACCTCCTACCTTTAGATTTCATCAAGGGTGTTGTGGACTCTGAGGATCTACCCCTGAACATCTCTAGAGAGATGCTGCAGCAGAGCAAGATCCTGAAGGTGATCCGCAAAAACCTGGTGAAGAAGTGCCTGGAACTGTTCACAGAACTGTCTGAAGATAAGGACAACTACAAGAAGTTCTACGAACAGTTTTCCAAGAACATTAAGGTAAGTTCATTCTTCTGAGTTAAATTCATGTCCAAGTTGTATTAAAATGTGAAGTGTAACTGGTAGTAATGGATCATTCCATATTTCAGCTTGGTATCCACGAGGACTCCCAAAATAGAAAGAAGCTGTCCGATTTGCTGCGCTACTACACCTCAGCCTCTGGAGATGAGATGGTTTCCCTCAAAGACTATGTCTCTCGTATGAAGGACAACCAGAAGCACATCTACTACATCACTGGTTAGTTCTTCATCAAAGTGTTAATTTATCTAACCAATTTCTTAAAAAGCATGTTGATTAAATAAATCTGCAACAACTTTTACAGGTGAAACCAAAGATCAAGTGGCCAACTCTGCCTTTGTGGAGCGTCTTCGCAAAGCTGGCCTAGAGGTCATCTATATGATTGAACCTATTGATGAGTATTGTGTCCAGCAACTGAAGGAATATGATGGAAAGAACCTGGTCTCTGTGACCAAAGAAGGCCTGGAACTTCCAGAAGATGAAGATGAGAAGAAGAAGCACGAGGAGCTCAAAAATAAATTTGAGAATCTTTGCAAGATTATGAAGGACATCCTTGACAAAAAAATTGAAAAGGTAATCTCTTTCTGAAATGTCAAAACTATTGTCTTGACAACAACAACAGAAACCCGGCTATAATTGAGCATTACAATAACACAAAACCTCTCAAACACAGGTTGTAGTTTCCAACCGCTTGGTTGCCTCTCCCTGCTGCATCGTCACCAGCACCTATGGATGGACAGCCAACATGGAGAGGATCATGAAGTCTCAGGCACTGAGGGACAACTCAACCATGGGTTACATGACAGCCAAAAAACATCTTGAGATTAACCCTTTGCATCCAATCATTGAGACACTGAGGGAGAAGGCAGAGGCAGACAAGAATGATAAGGCTGTGAAGGATCTGGTCATCCTCCTGTTTGAGACTGCCCTGCTATCCTCAGGTTTCACACTGGAAGACCCCCAGACTCATGCAAATCGCATCTACAGAATGATCAAGCTTGGCCTTGGTAGGGTTATTTTTGTTGACTATTTGGATAAACATGATCGGACCTATTCTGAAATTATATATTTATGAAGACACCGCTCATTACTGTATTTCATTGTAGGAATTGATGATGATGACTCTGCAGTTGAAGACCTCATTCAGCCAGCTGATGAAGACATGCCAGTCCTAGAAGGAGATGATGACACATCAAGAATGGAAGAAGTTGACTAAAATACTGTTCTTACCTAGTTTTTATTTTTGTAAGTGCTATTGCTTTCTAAAATGACTTTTTCTTTACCTCAACTTTATTTCTGAAAAGTGTCAACTTGACAAGTTTGTTTTTAGTAATGCAGACCATAATGTCTTTTAATCCTCATTCTAATATATTTATTTAGACCTTTTGAGAACATGAGTAGAGTCAAGAGGTATTGATTTTTTTTTGTAACTGTTACATTTTATATGTAAAGCTTTAAAATTTATAATAAAATTAATATGTAAATCAAACCTGTAGCTTTTTATTAAATGGCAATTGCATGAGCGATTTAATCAGCCACCCTGCATTTTACACAAGCAAAATTGGTTTTACAGCTACATAGATTAAAATGGCTCCATCGACACCGTCTTTTTTAAATTGAACGTTCTGGAATCTTCAGTGAACCCGGCATGGTAAGTTCTCGTTTCTGCTCACACGTGCCTTCTTCCCTGAACAAACCTCTGCTCCGTTTCAACACCGCCCCCTTCTGCCAGAAATGGAAAGACGTGCGGGTATATGCATTGATTGACATTTCAGCTGACCAATCAGCTGTAAGCACCTCAGAGAATTCCAGACGGTTCTGGAAGCTCTCAGTTAGGATTTTCTCGAACGCTCTGAGAGACTACAAAAGCCGCACAGACAGTAGGTGCAGACAGATACTTTACCAGACGAAGTAGCAGCGCACGGGAGCGACCAGGACACATCTCATTCCGGAGCCCTCGACACACGTTGGAGGACCAAGGTAAATGGAGAAAATTTTCATTAAATTTCCCCATGATGAGGACTATTCCTAGTTAGCCACAAAACCGTTAAGGATGACCGTTTCCTAATGGTAAATTAAACTGGAGCTTAATTTTTGACATTATGTCAAAACTCACAGTTTACCGAATGAAGCCTCTAAAATTATATCAATTTATGTGAGTAAATAAATTATTGCTAAAATAAACGTCACGTTTTTATCTCTAAAATTGAGACTTGTGGAGGCTAAATTAAAACAGTTACGTCTAAACTCTGCAGCATCCTTACACGGTGGCTCCTTTGTGGACTTTTTTTTATTTTCTCTAAAATATTTTAAATTTTTTACTCTGCCAATGTTCAGTCCTGCTTCCAGCATTAAGACTCACAGTTTGGCTTTGGGATGTCATCCATTGTGATTAGAAGGAGGGGCTTTTCGATCGTGGAGGCTGCTGGACTCCTTGCATCTTTGGTAGCTTCTAGAACGTCGCATTTCTGCCACGAATCCTGCAGGGGGCGCCGCTGCTCTTCCTGGAATTAGCACTGGAAACCACGTGCTCTTGTCGAGTCATTTGTGCATCATGGACGAAATTAATTATGAGCGAAATCAAACACTTATTAGAAAACTGAATGATTAAAAACACGTCTACACATTCACATGTGATTACAAAGTGTAGAAATTGGAATGAGAAGTATAAGCACGTGGTTTTTAGATTGAGTTGCAGGGTTGAACTGGACAATCTGTCAGGCCAGCTGTCTCCAAAAGCAAAATCATTGCCTATATCTCTTTTTTTTATTGTTTCAAAACGTACTGTATTTTGAACGAATAACAAAATTAAAGATTTTCTGTCAGATGACAGAACACAAAAACAAAGAAATGATTAATGTAAAATGATAACCAGAAACACTGGTATTATTGGTGTTATTCAAAAGTCTTGAAATTTGTACATGAATACAATATCCTTGTTTACATTTAAATAATGCTATAACTTAGATTTTGTTTTTGCTTTGCATTTTCATTTATTTTTGAAAAAAGTTTACATTTAAAATAGCAGGATTTTAAATTGCGTTTGGCAAAATTATTACTTTTTCTAAAAGCTTGTATCTGCCGCTTTTACCTAGATGCCTGAACTACATGATCAACCAATGGAGGAAGAGACGGAGACCTTTGCATTCCAGGCTGAAATTGCTCAGCTGATGTCCCTAATTATCAACACATTCTATTCCAACAAAGAGATTTTCCTCAGAGAGCTTATCTCCAACTCCTCAGATGTAAGTTTGTCTTCAATTTCCAGTCAAAAATTAAATGAAATGAAATGTCTGTAACATCACTTTAAAAAAAAAAAGCATATTACTAACTTGTCGACCTATCAACAGGCCTTGGACAAAATCCGGTATGAAAGTCTTACCGACCCCTCCAAGCTTGAGTCTGGCAAGGACCTCAAAATCGAAATCAGGCCCAACAAAGAGGAGCGCACTTTGACCCTGACCGACACGGGTATTGGCATGACCAAGGCCGACCTGATCAACAACCTGGGCACTATTGCAAAGTCTGGCACCAAGGCTTTCATGGAGGCTCTGCAGGCTGGAGCAGACATCTCCATGATTGGTCAGTTTGGTGTGGGTTTCTACTCTGCGTACCTCGTCGCTGAGAAGGTCACGGTCATCACCAAGCACAATGACGACGAGCAGTATGCCTGGGAATCCTCTGCCGGAGGCTCATTCACAGTTAGATTAGACAACTGTAAGTTACTTTAACACAAAGGATAGAGGCTTATGTAATGACTTGAAGGCAACATGAATTGACTTGTTTTTCTGCTGTATAGCTGAACCGCTGGGCCGCGGAACGAAGGTGATTCTGCACCTGAAGGAGGACCAGACAGAATATCTTGAGGAAAGACGAGTCAAAGAGATTGTGAAGAAGCACTCGCAGTTCATTGGCTATCCCATCACACTCTTTGTAAGCATTTAGGATATTTTACATAATACAGGTTTATGCTACTGCTTCATCAGCTTTTTTATTTATTTGTTGTTGTACTCTTATTAACAAACGCCTTTCCGATTAATTTTGCACGTGCCAGGTGGAGAAGGAGCGGGACAAGGAGGTGAGTGACGACGAGGCTGAGGAGGAGGAGAAGGAGAAGGATAACGAGAAGGAGAAGGAGAAGGAGGAAGAGAAGGATGAGGACAAACCTGAGATCGAAGACGTCGGATCAGATGAGGAGGACGACCACGACAAATCTTCAGACAAAAAGAAAAAGAAGAAGAAGATCAAGGAGAAGTACATCGACCAGGAGGAGCTGAACAAGACAAAACCCCTCTGGACCCGCAACCCAGATGACATCACCAATGAGGAGTATGGAGAGTTCTACAAGAGCCTCACCAATGACTGGGAGGACCACCTGGCTGTCAAGGTAAGTCTCAGTTTTGTATTTAAAAAAAAACAAAAAAACGTGTTTTGTCTAAATTGTCACCAAAATAACTTGCGATCTTTCACCCTGAACAGCACTTCTCGGTTGAGGGCCAGCTAGAGTTCCGTGCTCTTCTCTTCGTGCCTCGCCGTGCCCCCTTCGACCTGTTCGAAAACAAAAAGAAGAAGAATAACATCAAGCTGTACGTGCGCAGGGTGTTCATCATGGACAACTGTGACGAGCTCATCCCAGAGTATCTCAGTAAGTATTTTTAAACTGCAGGCTTGCTCCAAAATTATCTAACTGGAATAGTGCAGGTGTAAGAACGAAGTTGTCTCCCTTGTTAGATTTCATCAGAGGGGTGGTGGACTCTGAGGATCTGCCCCTGAACATCTCCAGAGAGATGCTGCAGCAGAGCAAGATCCTGAAGGTGATCCGCAAGAACCTGGTGAAGAAGTGCCTGGAACTGTTCACAGAACTGTCTGAAGATAAGGACAACTACAAGAAGTTCTACGAGCAGTTCTCCAAGAACATTAAGGTATGAGTCTGTGCGGTTTTAGGAAATGTTGCCATTTTTCTTGACTGGAAGCTGTCTCTGAGTGCCTGATGCTAATAGCTGGGCTGCTTTTCTGCAGCTTGGTATCCATGAGGACTCCCAGAACAGGAAGAAGCTGTCTGAGCTGCTGCGCTACTACACCTCAGCCTCTGGAGATGAGATGGTTTCCCTCAAAGACTATGTCACACGCATGAAGGACAACCAGAAGCACATCTACTACATCACAGGTGAGTATTTTTCATCTTTAAAAACTCCTATGAATAATATTTAGACTAATGTAGAATTTTCATGTGAATTTACAACCATTGCGGTGTCTCTCTTTGCAGGTGAAACCAAGGACCAAGTGGCCAACTCTGCCTTTGTGGAGCGTCTTCGCAAAGCTGGCTTGGAGGTCATCTACATGATCGAGCCTATTGACGAGTATTGTGTCCAGCAGCTGAAGGAGTTTGAGGGAAAGAACCTGGTTTCAGTAACGAAGGAGGGCCTGGAGCTGCCTGAGGATGAGGAGGAGAAGAAGAAGCAGGAGGAGAAGAAGGCTCAATTTGAGAACCTCTGCAAGATCATGAAAGACATCTTGGAGAAAAAAGTGGAAAAGGTGAGCAGTAAGATGCCAAAAGAAAACTGCAAGTCTTGTTCAGTTCTTGTCTGTAATAAAGCACCTAACATAGTTGTTGCATCCCGGCACAGGTCACAGTCTCCAACCGCCTGGTTTCTTCTCCCTGCTGCATCGTCACCAGCACCTACGGCTGGACAGCCAACATGGAGAGGATCATGAAAGCTCAGGCGCTGAGGGACAATTCAACCATGGGTTACATGGCTGCCAAGAAGCACCTTGAGATCAATCCCGACCATCCCATCATGGAGACTCTGCGGCAGAAGGCAGAGGCTGACAAAAATGACAAGTCCGTGAAGGACCTGGTCATCCTTCTGTTCGAGACCGCCCTGCTGTCCTCAGGTTTCACACTGGAAGACCCCCAGACACACGCCAACCGCATCTACCGAATGATCAAGCTTGGTCTTGGTATGTGCCACTAAATTATTACACAACATAAGAAACCAGTGGATAGATTTTAGTAATTCATTTGACATTCCTCTTTCAGGTATCGATGAGGACGACACGACGTCGGATGATGCCACCTCTGCTCCCGCCGAAGACATGCCTCCTCTTGAAGGTGACGATGATGCATCCAGAATGGAAGAAGTGGACTAAGCTCCCTCCTGTTTGCCACTAGCGTTAAAAAGGAAAAAAAAAGGCTTATTGTACAGTTGAAACCTAAATGTTGTAAATGATCTTGGAATGTCACCACTTGTTTCTGTTCCCACTGACACCTTTAAGTTCAGATCATTCCTATTTTAGGACTTTTCAGTTGTTGAAGTGTCAGATTTTTGTACCTCAAGTTTCACTGCATTTGTGTTTTTTATTTATTGACATTCCAAGGTTTGTTCTTTCTTTAACTGTAAATATCTGATACTGTTATTTGGAGCAGTTGAGCACATTAAATAAAAGTTGAACATGTGGATATGTTTGGTTCATTGTGCATCAACTAAAATTGTGAAGCTTCTAGAGTTAATACTGATGAGCATATAGTTCTACAAGTTAAGTTAAGCAGTAGCTGTATTCTACGGTTATCCTTGAAACACTGCAAAACGTATGTAACGCTATTCTCCAACTCATTATACAAATCTAGATTTGAACAGAATGTGAAATGTGGTTAAAATGTACAGAAGGGGAAAAAAAAAACATAAGCTGCCTAATTGATTTCTACAACATAATGAAAAAAATCTTCAATCCAATACTCAAATACCAGAGAACATTAACCCAGTTCAGATATTGATGCATTCAATTGAACATCCTCTTGAGAATGTCTTAAACAAGCTTTGAGTGCAGAATTATGACCTTAGTTATTTCCAGATTGCTAACAATAAATGCTTCACAGAACATGTATATATAGAGGCGCTCAGGTTTGCTGTTAATCCTTTTCCAAATGAATTTGATTAGTTGCACTTGTCTACTTCCTTTTTTGGTTTTTCTGGAAACTGAAACATGCCTAGTGAAGCTGTATTAATGCTTTACTGTGGTTGGGTTTACATAATAGGAAATATGCTAATGGAAACTTAAAAATTCTTATCTATTTAAATCTAGAGCGTGAAGCTCGGCTAAATCAAATGCAAACATATGGGCCTGTTCATATTTGAGCTACAAAAAATGATCTAGAGAAATTGTAGGGAAAAAAATATCAAAGGTGTTTTGTGGTGTCAAAATGCGTTCCACTATTTTGTAGAAAGGGCATTGCTTTTAAAATGGCTTTGGTTGTTTTCTGCTCAGTTTATTAACCAACTACCATTAAAAGCAAACATCTATACAAAAATATATTTTATTAGAAATAAAACGTACACATAAATTGGGAGTAGTTGAAGCATATTAACGTCTTGCATATTTATATTTGAGTTTTAAAGCATTATCAAGATGTAGCAGAACCACTGCCTCCCAATAAACTAATAAATCATAACTGCATGATTTACTTTTTTATGAAGCAGTACTTCTAGAGGAACTGAGTGAATTATTGATAACTATTTCTTCCTTTATTTTCCTATATAAACAACCAGGAGAGGAACAAGGTCACATTATTAGCATTAACCTTTAATTTTAATTGCACCAGCCTGGCAGGCTGCTCCTCTGCTATTTAATGTCATGTACTTGCACACTTTCACCGGCAGGGGGCTCTCAGAAACTGTCTGTACTAGGCGCGTGAGTCAGCTGACAACCAACAGCCAATCGCGGCGTGAGTACTGTCTGAACCGCCTTGCAGTGTAGTGCCCGGAGAGTTGTCAAGGTTTTGGTTGTGGATTATCCGAGAGGGGAGCAAGGGCGGCTACGCTTGTACAATGCCGAATAAACCCAAAAAAGATAAGGTAAGTCTGGGATCATTTTACAGGTTTTGTCTGTAGGGAATGAACTACACGTGAAGTGTATATTACTGTATTTAGAGATAAACCGGGTGCTATTTGGACGTTTAGTTATTAGTGTTAACGTCCCATCATCTTAGCCAAGCACCAGTCATTTCTGGCTAGCCGCTATCTTGCCAACATACTAGCAGCACTGCTGAATGTTTCGCGTTGCTTTGTTCCAATAAAGTGGTTTGCGCGTTGAGTAAAGCGCTCATTTAGTTTTGTTTGCGGTATTTATGCGTTAATTGTTGACTATTTCATCGATGCAGTGTGAACGATAATGACTGTAAAGTAACGATAGCCAGCTAACTGCGGATTTAAACATTAATGTGGCTGGGTGGGCAGCCTTGTCTGCTCCCTAATGCTTCACATTACTCGCTAAAACGAGTTGGACTCAGCTTAATCTTTCTCCTTCAGGAGTCTCCTAAGTCTGGCAAAGTGGGGAAGAGTGGAGGTGGAGGACAGGAAAATATCGAGCATGAGGTAAATCAGAGCAATCCCCACTCTGTTTGAATGTTCACATCCCTCTGAAAATGGATCATCACGTTATTGCATTTGTCTGGCATATATGTAAATCTGTTGGACATTTAAAGTTAAAAACTTATAATTGGTTTTGATCAGCTGAAAAATAGCCCCTGAACGCAGGAAATAATATTGTTCTAACTCTTGCTACCTTTTATTAATGATGTCAAGGTTTCTCCATATAATAACAGACCAAGATTAATGGTAAAATCTAATTTTTGAAACAACACGTGGGCTGGTATGAGACTGACAGTAAGTTGACCCCGAGCAAAAACACCACAGTTTCACAATGTTGCAGTACTGCGTGCACAGCTCTGAAACATCTTATTATGAAATGGCACGATTAGAAACCAATTCCCCCCGCCCCCCCCTTTTTTTTTTTTTAAACACAAAGATTGTTTTATTATGGGGAAGGGAACTTCATGGAAGAGATAACATTAGCAAATGTTCACATCAAATTAAAGATTAGAATATTCACTTGGAAAAATATACTTATTTCGTGATCTATTCTCAAGTTAGAACGATGTAATATCTACATGATTAACTTTCTCAATCTATAGACATTTAAAAAAAAAATTCTTAAAATGTACTGTTTTATATATTACCTTCAGTTCAAACCTAGGACACAAGAAATGTGGCTTAAGAAGTTTGATTACAGACTTACCATGCATTCTTTAATAATTTATTTTCTTTTTCTTTTGCCTGCCAAAAGCAAAAACTACCTCCAGTTTTTGTATATGTAAAGCGCATAGTGTCGCCCATATCGAGTATGAGAAGCCCTCTATAAATAAAGACCGTCAGGTTGCTGACTAGTTTTACTGAACAATAGGTTGATTTTTTTTTTTTTTTTTCCACTGTGAATGTTTTTGGAGCAGCTGTTCAAATTACTCACATTGTTTCAGCTGTTCTCAGTAGCAGACTGTTTATCTCAACAGTTGTACGAATTAGAGCTTCAACTGTTGAATGTAAGAGGCTATCAATGTTTAGCTAGCTGTTGGAGGGGGCGGCCATTAACATAAGGTTATTGCTGTTTGAAGGCAACATGGTGCTGCTATTGCAGTTAAAACGTGATCCGATTCTCTCTTTTTGTAAGACAAATTATTTCTAATGTCGTCTGGAGCTAAGGCTCAGTCAGATGGTGAAAATATTTACTTGATCCATTTTCGTAGAATCACAATTTTATGTAATTCACTAATCATTAAAAGGTCAAAGAGCATTTTAAAACAGATTCTAATTAGTTTGTGCTATATTAACAACTTACGTTGTGTACACTTGAATATCAAAACAAATTTTAATTGAAAAATAAAAAACAAGAGCACCACTTGAGTGAAGTATATGATAGATAAGTATTAAAAAATAAGAAAAAAAAATTGTATTATGATTTATGTCTGAACATTCTTCAAAGTTAAGGGTTTATTTTTAGCTAAAATGTTACACTTAATATTATCAGTGTAAATAGTTGTAATATTTTTCTGCATTTTCTCACTAAAAATGTCTTCGGAATTACCGATCTTTCATGGAAGACTTATTTGCAGCCTACACTCTGAACAGATAATGCACCCAGTATTAAGATTTATGTTGTTTTTTTTTGAGCAGATAAGTTAGCTTTTTTTAATTATTTTGATTGCCCTGCCGAAAATAGACGCAAACAAGTTCTGTAGTCCAATACGTCTGACGACTTAGTAGCAAGTTAAGCAGACACACTAGATCACTCTGAAGAAGCCAGGCTTCTAGCTAATTGTAGTTAAATGTTAATTTGACTGCTTGGTAGCTTGTTGCTGCAGGAAGATAGAGGACTATTCATGCAGTTTCCTTCTTCTTGCAGCCAGGATAAAACTTCCTCAGAAACTCTTCCGATCACAGTTATAAAGTCCAAAGTAGAGCTGCCGTAAAAAAAAAAAAAAAAACCTGCTGCCGAGTGGCGTTAGAAGTATCTCCGCCTTACTGTCACTGCGTTTATGCCTCTTAAACATTGTCGGCATTTTTAATAGCAAGGAATCTGAAGGTGACTTTTATTGTGATTTTATTTTCACGCTTTAATACAAACTATGCCAACAAACTATTAGCATTCCAGTCATCAAAATCAGTAGCAATGTCTCCTCTTTTACATGAGTTGATTTCTAGGGGGAAAAAAAATTAATTTAGAATGTCTGAACTTAAGCATAGAACTATGTTACATAGAATGCACAGGTCCCACAATCTCTCTTACTCTAATATTTTCATCTAAATGAATTATTAAATGGATAAAAATATACATACTTATCTCTGTGGATATTAATATAATGCAATTAACTTGTAATGAATACATTTTAAGTCAATAAACGGAGACAAAAATATTTAATGTTACTGTTTAGTAATTCATTGTATCATTTCAAATTATCTTAAATGATCACATTTAATAAAATGTTTCAACAACTTACTGCGCTGTTGCCCTTGATACTTGATAGTGTACACTTAATGCGCACTAGGCTTTCACTTTTTCACGTCCGGTTGAGTTAAATCTAAAGAAAATGGGAAATTTGCGAAATGATTTGAGTGTGTCCATTAAATGCAAGTGGAGTTTGGTTTACAATTTTCTATCATTATGACGCTCTTAGTAAAACATTTTTCTTTAGCCCTCCCAAACGGCTCATCTATGAAAAACACAGCAGCTCTTCTTTTAAAAAAAAAAATGGCCTGACTGTCTCGTTCAAGGTCTGTTACGACGTGTGTTTGAATTTATTCTCAGTTTATTCGTACAGTGCTGATTCACAACACATGGGTCTCAAGGCACTTTAGAGGGGGAAAAAAAAAATAGCAAATCCAATCCAATTCAGTGATATGGATGGATGGATCTTAATGCCAGTCCAGTTCATAACAAATTCCAACTGGGTAATTTCATTTCAGCTTCACCAGATGTCTTTCTAAATGGCAAGGACTGTGCTCCTGTTCTTGCGCGGCCAATTTTAGCCGGGTCTTAAATGAATGTGATAAATCCCCTGTGACTCAGACGACAGACAGGTCCACAGCTGCATCAGCTGCAGCCTGATCTGAGCCGTCAGGGAGGAGCGTGTTGTCGAACGCATCCCTTGCAGGCATTCGGGACCTGCTGGGAGAAATGCTGTGCATTCAGGTGACACAACATCAGGATCAGACACAGCCTCGCATATCACCGTGCTCAGATGACTAGCAGAGCTCTTTACCCCCCCATTAGACTTTTTTTTTTTATATTCTTTCATTAGTGTCTATATATATATGGCAAATTATGGTATATGACTTCCTGTTGAATAGGAGGCAACATGTTGGTTATGATTAAATGTACCGGTCTTTTGCTACATGCTTTAGACGTGTATATTTACTTATTTTTTTCTTATGTTCATATTGAAGTTCGTACACATTGTTCCCACTTCATCCACCTCTGTTTTAGCGTAGCCTTGCATTGTTCCGTTTAAGAGACGCTGGTTTTTCTCCTGGTCCTGCAGAGCTCCAACAGGAAGACGAGCAACAGTGTTCCTCCCACCACTCAGCTGCTAAAGGGGAAGCAGCCAGGTTCCCAGACACCTGTCAAAAAGGACAAGAGGCAAAGCTCCTCTCGCTTCAGCCTGAGCAACAGCAGGGAGCTGCAGAAACTCCCTGCTTTCAAAGGTATTTAACTGCAATTATCTCTGCTTTCTCGCTTGGTGTCTGCAAGCATTCAGCTGTGGTTAATTAAGTATGAAATATGCTTATGTTCCTCTCATATATATATATATATATATATATATATATATATATTTTTTTTTCCAGTATGTACACACGCATGTAATCCTTGCAATGCCTACCAAAAAGCATACATTCAACATGTTTTTTTTATTTGCTTACTCTGTCCCCTCTCTCACCATCCATGGACATCCGTCGATGCTTCCTCATCCGCATTTTAATACTAAGCTGGACATGGCGTTATGCAATACGTGGAAACAGAGGACATACATGGCATGGATTTTGTGTTGGATTTAACCCAAGTGTCTATATTTAGTAGTAATCCAGAGATAAAGCTTTAATTCCATGTTCGCGGCGTTTGACGGTGTTTCAGATGATAGGGGGATAAGATGTTTTCCCCAACTGCGCCACTAGTCCTTGTGTCTTATTCCTCTGAACTGTCTAGGTGTATATTGAGATGCTAAAGCCCTTGGTCGGCTTATCGCTAGCTGGGACAGTAAGGAGCAGACACGGCCATAAGGCCTCCGGGCATGCGTCTGCTTATGAACGCATGAATACACACACCAGTTCTGTCCCCGGTCTTTACCAGTGCTTTAGAAATAATCGAAAGCAAACAAACGGATAGAGCTAGTGTTCTGGTAACTGCACCCCGGCCTGTTTGTCAGGACAAACAAACACACACACACATAAACACAATCATGGTTGAGTTGAACCCAGGAGCTTCTGGCTGTTGGGTATCATGCTACTAACCACTGTGCAGCCCACAGCCGGAACGGTTGATGCAAAAATAAAGGCTCTAAAAATAAAACAAAACATTTCTACCACAGCTAAAGTAGTGCAACTGTGCTGCTAAATAATGAACAGTAATTGTATTCAGTTATATTTTGGAAACATTTATTGCAGATCTCATGGGCCAATTGCAGCCTACAGGCTGTTAGAATTACTCAGATGTTATCACAGGATGACATTATCACTAGTTCTTATCATAATTTATGCTTTTTTTTTCTCCAGTTATAAGAAATTATATCATGCCATTCAAGGTTTCCCCCAGAAAACTAGCTAATCCCAGTGGTTGGGCGCTAGGGCAGTCATTCATCCAGCGGCCCGTCGGGTTTTTGAGTTAAAAAAATGTTTAAAGTTGACAGGAAATGTGAAAATATCACTTTATGATTATGTGTCATTTAAAGATTGGAAGATTAATACCTGAATACCAACTATAAAGTCTTAAAAAATGCAAACATTTTAAAAAGACTTAAATAAGCAGTGCTTAGCATGGTGGGGTGCAGAAGTAAAGCCTGGTGGCCCGCCAGGCTTATAATACACTGGGGGAAGCCCTGCCATTACTCCTGTTGATAAACACTGAAAAAATATCAGAAGTTAGATTTTTATTACAATTCAGTTTGAATTTATGTACTTTTTTAATAGTACATGAAAAGAAAGAAAATATGTTGAACAGCCCAATACTTTATGTAATTTTCATAAAAATTAGAAATGCATCAGTCAGTTAGCTTAGAAATTTACTCTGAACAATTTGCAATTGATTGGTGATATTTATTTCCTACTAAAAATTCCAATATTTTTTTATCAGAATACTCGCAAAGCATTACCATGGTGCATTTCCTTTATTAACGAAACCACACAAAGGTTTAGAGACACTTGTGCTTTTGTTCAGGAAGGAGTATAATTCTAAAATTCTTGTTTTCTGCTTGATTCGGTCGTATTACCTCTTTCAAAGAACCTGCATTATGTTGTTTGTTTTTTAAGTGTTACATTTAAAAAAAAAGTGTGGGGTGGGGGGAACTCCGCCCTCCCAGAAAAACAAAAACTGATTTCTGTATCAACTGACTTGTGTATTCAAAAATGTCTTAAGAAAGATGTTTGGAGCAAAGAAGTTGCTACCAAGATTGCTCACTGTGACTTGTTGGAAATAATTCTCCATGTTCTCTCAAAGACAGAAAGTTTCTACATTTTTAAGTTGTTCAAAGTTCAAGCGTTGCTGAGTCTGTGGGGCAGGTGAACGCTGAAGTGTGTTGACTGGAACTTTGCAGATTACTGCGGTGAACAGCTGCCCTTCTTCATAAACATCTTTACAGGGGGAAAGTTTTTTCTCTTTTTTTTTTTTTTTTTTTTTTTTTTTGAACGGAGCCTGTCTTTACAGAGCTGGAACCTTAAAATAAAACAGTACACTACAGAATGTTAAGTGGCTCTAATTAAACTTTAGTTCCTCTTGCTGCAGTTTTAAAGAGGGGAGGGGAGCTTTTTATGAGTTTTCACAGGCACTTTTTGGTGTCACCCACATTTAAAAAAAAATTCTATTTTTCTTGGCTTTAAGTACACTTACATAAAGTTTAGATTTCTTTAAAGACTGATTTTTCTTTTTTCATTTTCTTTTCCTGAGTGTTTCTCGATTGGAAAGACTTGGCTCAGAGATGAAAGTTGTCACCCGTCTTGCAGAACAACTTCAACTCTGGCAGTTCTGCACAATTTAGGCTCCTTTCAGTCTTCTGGAAATATCTGCACCTATCACATGCACAGGCCAGTTGAGTCTGTCAGTAAGAAGGCATCTATATTTGTCTTTTGTCACGCTGCTACATTTGTGTTGTGTCAAGAAACCAATGAGCATAACTTAATTTCTGATAAGCCCGCGCACTTCCCACACCCCAGTGTTAGCTTTGATAACATTCTGCAAAACATTATCCCAGAGTGTCCCAGTAGATGTTATCACTTGGTCCTGTCTAAACAGGCTCCTCGCTTGGCCTGTTTTCATTCCAGGCATGTTCACCACCTTGTGATAGAAACACATGTCCACAGGCCTGTCCTGCAGAGCCACGCTGGTGAGGCCCGGCCAAAACAAACAGCCTTCCCATGCGTGCGTTTAAAAAAAAAAAAAAAGAAAAGAAAAAAGAAGCACATTTCAAATGCTTTCAGATTAAGAATCTATACCCCCAACAGTTTTAGACAGTTTTATTGTTAAAATAAGGGTGTTGTAAAGTTGTGGGAATTGGAAATAAATATTTTCAACGTGCCACCTCTTTTGCTTGCTGTTGCCAGTGAATGTGTCTCAGGGCAAAAATCATCTTTTAGCTCCTGCCAGGCTGGAGTTTTACAACATGCATTGTCTGTCTGAAAGGGTTTGGTGCCACCTGCTGGCCTAGAGGATTCCTCCATGTTTGAGTTTCTATTTTAGATAACATGCTGCCACATTTTTGAGTTTTAGCTATCAAATTAAATTTTTATACAATCTGTGCAGCATGTACAAAAGTAGGGGACAAAACTAAGGCAGTGACTGAAAAGGCCTGAACAGTTTTATTTTTACATCTCAAAATATCTTAGGCAATTTTTCTGTAATTAATGTTTTTTTTTATTGGCTGGCAGGAAGATCTGCTAAAACAGATCTGAAGGAAGTTGTGGTTTTCTTAAAAATCACAACTTCACAACTTTATTTTTTTTTGTCTACATGAAAAAAATTATTATTCCAAAATACTTGCATCTAATACATTGTATTAAAAGTTTTTTTTTAGTTGATGATTACTCTGTAATGTTTTCCTCTTAGAAAAAAAAACAGTAGTTTGGATAATCCTTATAATTCGCAATAGTATTTTATATAAATGCAATCAAGTTTTATAGATGAAGTGCCAATAAAGATTTTTTTTTGTAAAAATCCCAGAAAAGTGAACTAAAATGAAATTAAACTATAATTTATGGCTTCAAAATATTAGGGAAAAAAAATTAATTGCGACACGATTACCTTCATTTTCCGGCTTCTTTTCGTTCTTTTCCTCTATCACAACACCAACACCAAACCTGGTTAAAGATGTAAACATCAAACATGAACACCAAAGGTGGTGAAAGCCCATTCAGCAGGCCAAATCTATTGTTGTCATGCAGAATTTGCATGGATGACACTTGAAGTATCAGGTTCTCTCACACATTGGAGCCTACTGTTGAGTCATGGCATCATCAAATTCAGCATTTACAACATTTTGATTCACGGATAAAATTTCACCTCTGTCAGCTGCAGATAACCTGATTTCGACACATTTAAAAAAATAATTTTTATTTGAGCATATGACTCTTAATTTGAACCCAGTGCTGTGTGTTATCAGATAATTGTGGATAAATCCAGATGTCTTTTGGGTCATTGCAGAACTGCTGAGGGGAACGTGAAGTTCAGCCACTGTTGAAGAGAACCTGTGTTCGTGGCCGTGTTGATTGGTCTATTTCTCTAAATAGATCAGAGCCTTGAGCACATCTAGAGGATTGTGACATTGAAGATCAGCAGACCTGTAAAAGAGCCACTCGTGTGTTATTTTAGGAACAAAGAGCAGAAAACTCCAGTCTGGTGAATGCATATGTTGGACACACGTTTTGAAGGATTAATGTGTGGGTATGTTCTGGTTAACTTGAGTTGCCTTGTTGCACAACAACCAGGAAGCAGAATGGCATGAAAATAGCTTTCTGAATAAGGCTTGACCTCATTACTGTTAAAACTGCTCCGTCTTAGTTTCAGATTCAGTTGCACTGAGTTTTGGACTTCTCTGACTACTTTATGATAGATGTATACAATTTTAAGTGACGTATCTAAAGGTAAAACTTTAAGACTTTACAGATTTATTGTTGTGTAATAAAAACAGCGTTTGTAATACCCTGGACCTGTCAGAATTTGTTGTCAAATTTCACATCTCCTCTTTCCCCAATCCAGCCACCACCTGCCCTTCTAAAGCAGAAGTACAAACCCTCATAAGAGCCGCAACGTGTTAGGGTTAGCTGTTTCTTTTTAGAAGTTACATAAGATTAAGAAAATGAAAACACATGTTTACTCAGAACACACAAACTAAAATTAACCTGCTTTTGCTAAATTTTATCTCCGTTTTGAAGCTATTCTTGTACCTTATCAGCTTGATTAAGGTACACAAATAGTAATAAAAAATTCTAGCATTTCTACG